CCCAGAATAATTAAATCTTCCAATGACTCAAAGGATGAGGTAGATATGTGTGGCAGAGGGCACACAAGAAAGCTACAGGATATTTCCAGTGATGAATCATACTCAATAAGTGGCACAAGAAATGTCACTGAAGAACATATGATTAGAAAAAAGAGGTAGGCTGGTCATGGGCATAAGTAACAATAATTGGAAGATAAGAGGAGAGTAGGCTAATACTCTCCTGGTGCCCTTAAATTTTAAAAAGACCTAGAAGGAAGCCTTTATAACATTAGTTAGATTCTATGTGGACTCTATTGGATAAAATGGATCAGACAATCACACAAGACTGATTCCTCCTCAAGTATCCTTCAGCATCCCTCCTCTTGCCCTCTTAGCTTACTTAGGACCTTGTCTCATAAATTCATAGATAAAATGGAGGTCATTAGCCAAAAATTCATTCTCCCCTCCTCTTTATATAACACCAATTAAGACATCTTCCTCTACCATCTCCTTTACCTTTTCCCAAATGAAGAAATATCTCTACTCCTTGTCAAGACAAATCTCTCATTGTGCACCCTTGACCCTATCCCTTCCCATTTTCTCCACACTCCCTTCCCATCAGCCCTACTCTCCAATCTCCATTTTCTCCTTATTCACTAGGTCTTTCCTTAAAGCCTGCAGATATGCCCATATCATCACCATACTTTTAAAAACCCTCACTTGATTATATCATTCTCACTCACTATTGGCTTATATCTTTTCTTCCTTTATTGGCTAAACTTCTTGAGAAAGTAACTTTCATTAGGTGCCTGTGCCGGTTGTGCCATGCACTCTCCTCCTATAAGGAGCAGGCTACCAGAGTCATACTTACCAGTCTTAGGTGCCCACCTGGATAAACACAGAGACGAGCCGATCAGGAGGTGCAAATGCTCGAGCTTTATTCAGAGGCCATCACAGCAAGGCCAAGCAGGAAGGCCAGAGCAAGAGAGCAGGAGCAAGAGAGAGCGAGCTCCGATCTCTACTGTTCCTTAAGTACCTACTTAGCCCCTCCTCCTCAGCCCGCCTACTAGTCATTGATTGTAGGATCAGATACCGGAAGGGGATGTCTGGGTTTAGCTCTGCACCAAGGGAGAGGACATGACGCAGGAGGCTAGGACCGGATACAGGAAGGAGGCATCTGGGGTCAGTGCTACACAAAGGGAGAGTACGTGACCCAGGAAGTCAGGAAGGAGATGTCTGGGGTTAATGTTGCACCTAGGGAGAGGACTAGACAAAGGGAACTCGTTCTCTGCCATCCCACTCCCACGTGGCACAGCCCCCTGCCTCAGGAGCATGTGCTCCGGCTACTTCCTTGTATCCTGTTCCTTCCCCAGCTTATCACAGCTCCATATAGCACTGCCCACTGCCTTGGGAGCGTGAGCTCCAGTTACTTCTCCGTATCCAGTTCCCATCCCAGTTCACTACAACTCCGCCTAGCACAGCCCCTGCCTCGGGAGCGTGAGCTCCGGCTACTTCCTAATACCTTGTTCCTACCCCATCTTGCCACAACCCGCACGTGGCAGTAGCCAACATCAGACAATCCCTCACAGGTGCCTCTACCTCCTCTCTGCTCACCTGTTTCTAAAGCCTCTGCAATCTGGCTTCTGACTTAAGCATTCAACAGAAACTGCTCTTTCCAAAGTTACCAATGATGTCTTAAATGCCAAATTTAGTGACATTTTCTCAGTCTTCATCCTTTTTGACTTCTCTTCAGCTTTTGATGCAGTTGACCTCACTCATCTTCTACATACTCTCTCCTCTCTAAGTTTTCATGACATTGCACTCTTCTGGCTCTCCTAGTACCTGTGTGTCTCTTCCTTCTCTGCCTTAAAACTTTGTTTGATCTTCATCAAAGTCTTACCCATGGATATCCCCTAAGACGTTAATACCCTCTTCTATGCTCCCTCTCTGTTTTACTAAGTGATCTCATCATCAATCATGGGTTCAATTATCATCTCTATGAAGATCATTCCCAGAACTATATATACAGTCCAAATATGTATCCAAATGCCTATCGAATGTATCTGGTGCATATCTTGGCATCTCAAACTCAACATGTCCAGAACAAAACTCATTACCTTTCCCTTCAAATCTTTCCTCTTCCTCCCTTTTCCTGATACTTTCAAGGGATTTGCCATCTTTCCAGTTACCCAGAAGCATATCCTTGGTATGTCATCCTTCACTTCTCACTCTCACTCATCCTACATATCCAATCTGTTTTCAAGTCTTGTCATTCCTACCTTGCATCTCCCTTCTATGTCTCTTTCTCTTTACTCACACAGCCACTGTCTCAGTGAAGGCCTTCATCACCTCAGGCCTGGACTATTGTAGTATTTTCCCAAGTAGTATCTCTATCTCAAGTCTGTTCTTACTGCAATCCATCCTCCATTCAGCTGCCAAAGTGATTTTCCTAGAGCATAGACCTAACTACCCCACACAACAGATTCTAATGGCTCCATATTACTGCTGGCATCAAAGGCCTTTACAACCTGGCCCCATTCTAATCTTCCATTTTACTCCCTCCCCTCTCCAGGTACTCTGTGATCCAATAACATTGGCCTTCTTCTCTTTCTTGCACTTGACATTCCAATCTTGAGTCTGTGCCTTTTCACTGGCTGTTCCCCTGTACCTGGAACATTCTCCCTCCTTACCTCTATTTCTTGGATTACCTGGATTGCTTTTCAAGCAATTTCACTTTCTGTTGGAGGCCTTCCTCAATTTCTGCACTGCTAGTGCATTCTTTTTGATATTACCTCTAATTTTGTATATATTTTGATTGTACATATTTTCTGTTCCATTAGAATGTGAGCTGCTTGAGGGCAGGAGCCATATTTTTGCCTTTCTTTGTATCCCTAGGACTTATTCTAGTGCATAGCTTATAGTAAATGCTTAATAAAATGCCTGTTGACTGACTGATTAATTGAACAAATGAAAAGACTCTGGATAAGTCGCAATATACACTCAACAAGGAAATACTCATACTGATGACAGTCATAAAAGCATCAAAGTATTCACAGAAGTACCTCTTTCACAAAGCTTCTGTGAGGCTCAATTATAAAAATGTATACATAAAAAATGCTTTTCAAACCATAAAGCACTATATGAATGTTAGCTATCATTATTACTATTGATAGTATTAATTATACTAAGTATTCCCTAAAGTTTTTCTAATAAAGAAAAAGGCAAATATCAAAGCATCAAAATAAAAAAAAATATAAGTTTAAAATAGATCTCATTGTTATTAGTACTTTTAAATATCACATTCCTTCCCAATTATATCCCACCCCCTCTACTATCCAGCAAACCATCCCAGGTGACAGAAATTAAAAAAGGATAAAAAAGCAGTTCAGCAAAATCAAACAACATAGTTTCTGTCTGACAGTCAATGAAATATTCCACATCTGTAGTCCCCCCTCTCTGAAATGAAGGTATGTGTACTAAATACAAGTTAGCCAGTCAACAAATATTTATTAGGTGCTTACTTTGTGCCAGGCACCATGCTTAGCACTGGCATGCTAAGAAACACAAAGAAACGCAAAAGACAGTCCACGTGCTCAAGGAGTTCACAGTCTAATGGAGAAGAAAGCATGAAAACAACTATGTACAAATAAGATATACACCAGATACATTTGGACATAATAAAGAGAGGGAAAAGCACTAGCAACAAAGAAGATTGGAAAAGGCTTGCAGTAGAAAATAAGATTTTAGCTGAGACTTGAAAGAAGTGAGGGAAAAGAGAAGATACAAATGATGGGGGGTGGGAGTGGGGGAAGAATTTCAGACATGGGAGACAGCCAGTGAAAATACTTAAGAGTCAGGAGGAGATGGAGTGTCTTGTGTGAGGAAAAGCAAGGAGGGCAGTATCACTGGATCATAGAGTACATAGGAAAAAAGGGAAGTTTTAGTTGTAAAATTAGAAAGGTAAGAAGGAGGAAGATTATGAAGGAGTTTGAATGCCAACCTAAGGATTTTCTATTTGATCCTTGAGGTAATAGAGAGCCACTGCATTTTACTGAGTCGAGGAGTGAGGGAGCTAGGCGAAGTGTGACATAGTCAGACCTGCACTTAAGAAAGATCACTTTGACCACTGAATAGAGGATGGTCTGGAGTGGGGAGAGACTTGTGGCAGGCAGACCAACCAAGCAGGTTATTGCAATAGTCCAAGTGAGAGATGAGAAGGCCGGCACCACAGTGGTGGCAGTTGTACTGGGGGGGATGTTACAAAGATCAAGCTTACAAGTTTAAAATATCTCACAAAAGTATATAAAATGGCTCTAACTAGATAGTTTAGATCTGGGTAGGACTCTTGCGTCTTGACAATAAAAGACAATTATCTGAAAATGTTAAATTAGATAGGAAATCATTTTCTACGGTAAAGATTATTTAACAATACTACTATCTAGGAAAAACAATAACTTCATCTCTTTCCCTAAAGCAATTTAAAATACACGACAATCACCTGTATCCAGGATAGTTTAAATATATTTGTACCTGCACTTTCAATTTGACTCCTAATAACATCCTGGTGAGAGTTTCAGCATGATGACTAGATGTAAGTAATACATTCTGTTATATAAATATTATTATGTGAAGTAGGACAAATTGACATGTCTTATAACTAATCAAGAGGTTGGGAAGGAAATGTACTTTAAGTTGGCAACTCATTTTTTCTTTGTTGATAAATAAAATCTAGATGATCTCACATGATGCCCTTTGATATTTATCACATAATAATTAGCATACATTTTATATAATAGAATATTGGCTACTTTATCACTGATTTTATAGTCCCAAATGCAATATTTTGTCTTAAGATTTGTATTTTACTGCTTAATTTTTGAATGTTATACACATACTCTCTGTCTCTCTGTCTGTCTCTCTCTCTCTCACACACACACACACATCTACACACATACCCACCCACCCACACACACACACATACATTCCGGAGCGAAAAAAAATAAAACTGTCTTTTTATTTACCTCCAAGTCTCGCTCTGATGGCAGCATCAGATACTTTCCTGGAATTCCACCTTGGGTCTTCATTTAGTTCTTCCAATAATGTTGTTCGCTTCTTAATTTCTGTCTGCAATTCTTGGTCTGTTAAAGGGATTCGTTGTTGAGGCTTCACATCAGAGTAACTTACTAGGTTTGGGATGGTTTTGCCAACTCCAGGCAGCAAATCAGCATCACCTCCAGGACTCATAAACCCTGAACAAGGATCACCCAATGGCACATCATCTCGATGTGGAAATAAAGCATAATCTTTCCCAGGAGGTGGGGGGTAAGGATGATATAAATGATAGTCTGGCTGGACAGGAGAAGGATAAGGGTGAAATTTCAGGAAAGAAAGACTGTCTTTATCTTCAAAACTGCCAAAGAAATGTCTATCCTCGTTTCCTCTCACAAAGGGCATTTTCATTCTTTTTAGGATATGACAGTAGTGAGGGTAATCCATTTTCTTCAATGGCACTTTTACTGCATTGATGGGATGCTTAGGGATAATGATCTGTCCAAATCTATGATCCGATATCATTTTGGCTTTTTTAAAGTTTTAATGACCACAATTTAAAATAAAGACTTTATAAATTCTTTTCCAATAAATGGAAATTAGAGTTCGTCTAGGAGAAAAATTTGTTCATGCTTCTAACCTGCAGGGTAGTTTAATTGCTTTAAAAAGGGAAAAAAATGATTTGCCCTCCTTTCTCTGTCCCCAAAAGACAGTGATGTAGCAGAAGAACTTGGCTGCAGAAAGAATGATGAGTTACTTTGTTGCTTGGCAACAGTAAAACATTGACATGTATTGAAATATGGAATTTTATACATCATAATATAATTCCTAGGGGGAAAAAAATTAGCTTTTGTTCATAATACTGCCGTGATAGCATCTTTACCAGAACCCGTGAAGATATTTTCCCTTTTAAAAAATATTGAGTTTAATTATAACTAATTATAACTTATTAACTAATATTACATGAGAAATATAAATCAAAATGGGCAATCTAATTGTTAGATTAAATATAAATAAAAATATTCCAATCATCTACTTGGCACAGTGGGTAGGGTTCTGGACTTGGAGTCAAGGAGATATGAATAACTTGCCTCAGACACATACTATGTGAGGCTGGGCAAATCACTTAACATCTATCTGCCTCAATTTCCTCATCTATAAAATGTGGCTAATAATATCATCTTTCTCTAGGTTTTGGGGAGGATAACATGAGATATTCTTTGTTAAAGTGTTTTGCAAATCTTAAAGTGATATATTAAATGCTAGATATCCTGCTATTACTTTCTGTACCTGCATAAAATGAACTTTGAAAAAATTATGTTTGATACACTCGGTAGAAAAAATAAAATGAGTTCGTAACTCATTTAAGATTTATTTTCCTACTTATCCTAAATAACACTTAATCCCCTAAGTGCTAATGAAAATATTCTTGCAGGACTTAGCTCCAAGGTTTTGCAGCACTGAGCTAGAAAGGAGAATGAGTTAGTGGTATTCAGGAAAAATAGAAGATTGAGAGATCACAGAAAGCTTAGATCCTCTATATTCCCCTCAAAAATAATACAGAAACATAACAATATGAAATGGGTAGAAATGCACAAGAGGATTTTTTGGAGGGATATTTAGATAAATGATCAAATGAAACTATCAATGCAACAATAAAATATTAATGGCAGAAATGCCAGAGGAAAAAAAATTCAAACAATATCAACAGAGGTATCTGAAATAAAACTTATTTCCTTAGAATACAGTTAATGGATACCCTGAAGGGATTGACCCTACTCTTCATTTGCACTGTGACCTCCAATGCCTTGATCCCTCCATTCTCTCCCAGGCTATCCTCCCATGCACTAGCTACTCTCTCAGCTGAGAAATCTTGCCTCACATTTTTCAGAAAAATATTGAGGCCATTCTCCATGATCTCCCTCTTCTCTCATCTTCTTCAATTTCTATCACTCAAGTATCTTCTATCTCTATTTTTTTTCTTCACCCCTGTCTCACATGATTATATGGACTTACTCCTTAATAAGACTAAGCTCTCTACTTGTTCAAGTGATCTAATTACAACCCTTCACAACCTAAATCCAATCATCTTTCCAGTATCATTACACAGTCCCCCTCTTTCCACATTCTTTGATTCCAACAAATTGGTCTTCTCTTTGTTTCTCACACAAGGCCCTCCACCTTCCATCTCTGTACCTTTGCACTGGATTTCCCCCATGCCTGGAATGCACTTTCTTCCTCACCCCTACTTCAAGGAATTCCTCTCTTCATGAAAAACTCAAGCATGACCTTCCACACGGAACCTTTCCTGATCTCTTCACTCCTAGTACTTCCCAACTATCTTGTTTTAAACTACCTAGTATTTAGTTTGTATTTATTCTGGATATACTTATGTAATTTCACTCAATAGAACAGAGGTTTCTCAAGGGTAGGAATTGTTTGTGTTTGTATACTCTTGCTCTTTAGGAAGGTCACTTTAACATCTGAATGAAGAATGGTTTGGAGTGGCAAGACAGTTGTGGCAGGGAGACCAACCATCAGTCTACTACAATAGTTCAGGAATGAGATGAGGAGTGGTGGCAGTGTTAGAGGAGAGAAGGTGTCTATGTGAGAGTAGCTAAGAATATAAAATAGGCCACGGAAACTGATTGGATATGGAGAGTGGGAGAAATTGATGAGTCAAAGTATGACATCTAGGTTTTCAAGCCTAGATGGTTGGGAGGAAGGTGGTACCCTTGACAATAACAGGGAAATTTGGAAGAGAGGATAGTTTGAGAGGAAAGATAATGATTTAAGTTGTGGACATAATGATTTTAAGATTGTCTATGGGACATCCGATTTAAGATGTCCAGTAGGAGGCTGGAGATATGAGATGGAGGTCAGCAGAGAAGTTAGGGCTGGATGAGTCAATTTATATTACAAAGGAAGTATGAACAAGATTTAGTAACTCAAGAATTCCAAACCTGGATAGCTGGAACAGTACTGAATAGAAATAAGGAAGTATGGAGCAGGGATGGATTTTCAGGAAAATAAGAGATCTGTTTTGGACATAATGAATCTGAGATGTTAAAGGGACAGCTGGAAGGAGATATCCAGTAGGCAATCGGCACTGTAGGACTGGATTTCTAGACAGAAATTAGCAGATATCTGCTTCGGGCAATCCATCTTCATCAAAAGACTGCACCCTCTGACATCCCCACTCTTTAAATTTCTCACTATCTACTGGCTCCTTTGCTACTGCCTACAGACATGCCCACGTCTCTCCCAGGCACCTTGGTAGGCACTGGGTATACAAATACTTGACAACCAAAAAATAAAACAAACAAAAATGAACTAGTTTCTGCCATTTATTGTACTGTTTTCCTGTGTGATAGTTATTTGATACAAAGAGATTTAGACGGAGAAAGAAGAGTATGGGCTTCATGAGAGAAATGGTAGGAAAACAAATGAGACAGAAGGTACCTTAGAATAATACAACCACAAGCAATACTCTTGTTTTTAAATAGGGAGAAGGGAGGTCAAGGTAAACTTGTGAAAAATGTAAAGGCATTGGATTTGGAGTTGGGAGGATTTTGAGGACCTGAGTTTGAGGCACAGCTCTGTAATTCAGTGCCTGTAGAGCTTTGAACAAGATACTTTACTTTTCTGATTTCAGTTTCTTCATCTGTTAAATGAAGGGATTGAAGTAAACAACCTCTAAGGTCTCTTCTAGCTCTAAATCTTATTATTCTAAAGCCCTCTCGTGGGAGAAGTCCTTTCCTAAGAGTTTCTTTGGTTTGACATGGCTAGACAGCATCTCTTCTGGTATCATCTCTTAGAATCCTTGACTTTCTTCAAGGCTCATCTCCACATGCCATCTAGAGTCCTATAGGAAGTTTTTTGGAGCCTCCAGTTGTAATTGCTTCTCCAGTTTATCAGGTATATACTTAACGGTTTGTCATACATTGTGGTTTCACTAAAATTACTTTCTTTCCATCTACTCTGCATTGGTTGTCTTCCCTGTAAGGATGTAAGCTCTTTAAGTATGGAGACTGTTTTAATGCTTTTCCTGAGTATCTCCATCACTTAGCACAGTTTAATAACACAGTAAACACCAAATAAATGCTTGTTGAGTGGTTGATAGGTTGATGTAAGTAGTTCCCTACATACATGGATTGATGTTCACACTTAACCCACATAGGGGCAGGTAGGTGGCACAGCTTGAACTCAGGAAGAGCTTAGTTCAAATCCTGCCTCAGTCACTTATTATCTATGTTACCCTGGGCAAGTTGATTAACTGCTGTCAGCCTCAGTTACTTCATCTATAAAATGGAGATAGTAAATAGCACTCACCTCATCAGGGTTGTGATGAGGATCAAATAATTTAACATAATCTTAAATTGCTATATAAATACTGGGTAATAGTATTGATAGATATACAATACTATATAAAAGATATAACATTATGATATGACATGATGTGATATGATATAATATGACACAATATAATGTAACAATATATAAGAAAAGCTATTATTAGTGTTTAGCACAGTGCCTGACACATAGTAGATGCTTAATAGATGTCAATTGATTATTACTTAGGTGGTTCAGTGGCTCAGCAGGCTAAGCCTGCAACCAGAATTTGAGTTCAAATCTGACCTCAGACATTAGCTGTGGGACCCTGGGCAAGACACTTAATCTGCTTGCCTCAGTTTCTTCATATATAAAATAAGCTGGAGAAGGAAATGTCACACCACTTTAGTATCTCTAAGAAAACCCCAAAAGGGGGTTCCAAAGAATCACACACAAATGAAATGACTAAACAACAACAATATTTATCATGCTCACCTGTTGTATTCCCCCCCCCCCCAGTAGAACTTTAACTGCTTGAGCCAGGGTACTTTTTTTTTCTTTTGTGGGTGTGGTTCCTTTAAAAAAGTTTTTGGGATGTAGGTTCAAGTTGTGAGTTCATTGATTTAGGGAAATCCCTTAATGAAGAAATTCATTCTACCAGTGCAGGTCATCCACTTCTCTGCAATTTTTAGTCTTTGCGGGTTGGCTAGAACAATGATTCTCAAACTTTTTTGTTTCTGGACCTTTTTACACTCTTAAAAATTATCGAGAACCTCTACCCCCAAGAACTTTTGTTTATGCAGCATCTCTCCTTTGATATTTATCTTATTAAAAATTAAAGCATTTTAGTATTATTTTGACCTTGTGAACACACGTGCCTTGGATAGGACAGTGAATAAGGTTGAGGGAAGCTGTCCCCTTGAAACTCCCCCTGCCCCATGGGAACTGATGAAATCTCCCAGAGAAACCCTTGCTTCAGAGGTGACTGAGCAATCAAGGAACTCAAAGGCACACAGCTTCCAGAATCACAGTTGGAAGAAACTTCAGAGGTCGCCTTGACTGGTCCCTAGTCTTAGATCTTCTCCCTTCCTGTCCCACATGAACTATCCTAGTGATGCTCTAAGAAGCCTTCACTCAGCATCCAGTTCCCATCTTCTGAGAGAACCGGCCCCCTCCCCTCCCACCACTGGTCCCGCCCTTCCCCTGGCCCCTCCCCTCCTATCACTGGTCCCTGGTCTGGCTCCCTCCCTCTTTCACCCCGCCCCTACGCACTGAACATTCCAGTGGCGCAGTCGCAGTGGAGCAGAGTTCTTTTCGAGCTCCATGGTAACGACGTTCTGGGCCAAGTGCCAGTAGGAGGCGCCGTTGGGATGGAGGGCGCAGCCCGGGTCCTGTTGAGGAGGGCCCGGGAAAGGCGCCATGGTCGTAGCTGCCGCACTCAGTGCTTTCCATCCCTTTCCCTCCTTCTCTTGTTGTTCGTGCACTTCCAGACGTCCCTTTCAAGTAAGGCCCCTCATTCGCCGTCAGTTCAGCTCATTGAGAGACAAGCCCCCGGGAGGAGAGAAGCCTACTGGAGGAGAAGGGAGTTGTGAGGGGAGAGGAGGAGCGGGCAGACCAGGCAGGGATAAATCGAGTAAAGAAAGTGAGAGGAATTTGGGCGGGTCTGGGACTCAAAGGGAAACGCCCCGGGGCCGTGGTGGATGGGACCTGCAGTTAATGTTCGGGTTTCCTTGAGAGGTAGACGGGTGCAGTGGAATGTGCACTGGGTCTGGAGTGTCAAAGCTTTGGAGTTCGAATCCTCTCCACTCCACATCTGTCTGACAGCTCAGGCCTCAGTTTTCTCATTTGTATTGATTGCCCCAGATGGCCTCTCAGATTCCTTCCAGCTTAAAGTTGTGATCCTGTGTATAATAAATTAACAGATGTGTGCCCCTTGTAAACCTTAAAGCACTATGTATGTGTGAGTTAATTATTTTTACAAATTCTAGTAGTATGCTTAACTTGAAGAAAATAACTATTACCGCTTTTTAGAAAAGGAAAATAAAGCTGATCTTTTTGTTTCGTTTGAAAGTTACTTAAACTCTCCGAGATCCTCCTTTGTTGAGTGAGGAAGTTAGATTAGTTTGTCTGCTAAGGTCTCCTGTAGCTCTGAATCTGTGCTTTTATGAGAATACCATTTTCTTATGCTTGCTAAAAGTATATGTTAAACATTATGTTAAGCCTACTTAAGTAAAGGGGTAGGCGGGAGGCAAAGTGGATTGAGTGCTAGGCTAGGAGTCGGGCAAATCGATTTGAATCTTCCATTAAACCCTTTCTAGCATAATCCCTAGGCAAGTCACTTGGACCTATCTATGCCTCAGTTTCATCATTTGTAAAATGAGGGGTTTGGATTTGACTTCCAAGTACTCATCCAGCTCTAAATCTGTGATCCCATGATGCTTTATAAACTGCAGAGTTTTACATTTTAACCTATCCCATGTGTGTAACAGTCCAGCCACCCTATTGTTGTGTTCTTTTGAATCATTTGATTATTCAGACACTAGTGCTGCTGGATTTCACTTTCTATTTCAGCACCTAAGAATTAAAGTACTACCTCTCCAGTTGATTCTCACATCTGTTTATCTAGCTGTAATCATTCTCCTGAGTGCTAATCATGAATCATCAGCTGCCTCCTTTTTATCTCCTGCTAGATATAGGATAGATATCTCAAACTCAGTACTTAGAAAATGTAACAAATTATTTCTTCTATCCTCAAAACCTTCCAGTCTTCCAAACTTCCCTGTTTTTGGTGAAGGTGCTAGCGTTCTCCCAGGCACCCAGATTTATAATCTTAGAGTCATTTTTGTGTCCTTCCCCTTATTTATCTCCTATTATCTTATCACTTGCCAAGTCTTGTCAGCATCTCTCTGCAACATCTCTCACATCTGTCCTGTCTCTTCCTATTTCCATGACCGCTACCCTAGTGCAGGCTGTCATCACCTCTCTCCTGCACTGCTATAATATCCTCTTGATTGGTTTCTCTGCTTCTGGTATCTCCTCTCTAAGCCATTTTTCTACTTGGTTTCCAAATAATCTTCAAAAAGTGATCATTGGCATTAACCCATTAAGATGATGGGTTTCCATTGCTTATTGGATAAAATACAAATTCCTTACTTTGACTTTAAGGTTCTTCATGATCATGTTCTTGCTCTTTCCAGTCATATTTTATACGTCATCCTTCACGAGCATTGCATTTCAGCCAAGCTCTACTACTAAATATTTTCCGATCTTGACAGTCCATCTACTGTTTTTGGGTATTTGCACAAGCATATTCAAACCATATCCTCTTTCCACATCTGCATGTCCTGAAATCCTAGTTTTCAAAGCTCAACTTGGACACCCCCTTCCCCAACCCTGCCCTTCTAGTTGTAGTGGTAGCCCCTCCCTTCCTTGTACTATACTTATGTGTTTATATTTTGTGTACCCCAATAGAATATAAACTCCTTGAGGGCAGAGACTTTTGTTTTTACCATTGTATTCTTAGGGCCTAGATAGAACATAGTACAACTTTAATAAATGTTGAATTTGCTCCTGAATATAAATTTGGGCCAGGAAGGTAGAAGAGATTAAGATGCCAATTTTTTAGGTCTGATTTTCTTTTTTTTGGCTGTTGAGACATTTACAATTCAGTTCTTCAGTTAGATTTTAAAATTTTGCCCATACCTGCCTATATAGACATTTTGGTTTAATAAAGTATTATTATATTTCAATATTATTTGTTCCCTTGCTGCCATAAAAAAAAATGTATTAATGATACTAGAGCTCCATCTGTAGGTTTAAGGTATACACAACAGGAATTCTGTTGATTTTTAAAATTGTTTTGATGGTCTTGACTGTCATTCTAAACTTTTAAGCCTATGTTTTTGTATTTGTTTGGAACTGTACCTCTGGTTTCTTTCTAGGATGGAAAATAACTTAGATAACTTAGAAATAATTATTAAATATTTCAATAAATGAATGAAAGTTGATTAGCAAATCATAGAAGGAGGTTTACAATTAAATGAGTACTTTGCCCTTCAACTCAAAAGACATCTTTTAACTGAGAAGTTTCTAGTTATATTATTCTTTATTGTCTTGTTCTGTATTTGGGCAAATTTTTATGAAAAACACTGTAAAAGCACATTACTAAAAATAATTACAGGGAGTTTATTTAGAATGTAGAAACACTGGGGAGGATGAGAAAAGTAGTCATCTAGTGAAAATGTTAGGGTGGTTAGGTAGGAAAAATAAATTAATTTAATGGGTGATCCCATATCTGTTATGAATTAGAGGACAACAGAAATCCAGTGGTAGGTCTTCTACTGTTAGTAGCAGAACCATCGATCTTTCTTGACCACATAGAGAAGCAGAGTAATGTTATTTACCTTATTTCTTTATCACTGCTGTCAACTCTTCACACTATTTTATGATCTTTGTATTTTCCTTAGCACTTAGTACAATGCATTTGCATATCCATTAAACAGTTATTGTACTCCTACTGTCTGCTGATGGTCCTAGGTGTTAAGTGAAATAAAGAGTTAAAATATGGTCACAGTCCTTATGGCCTTTCAGGTCTTGTTAAGTAAATGCTTAGGAGCAAACAGTTATTGAAGTGATTTTGCCAGTGGGCTCAATGCTGGGGAGCAGTTTTTATTAGATTTAGCCTCTGCCCTTATCCTCTTTGTAGCATAATTAGATAAATGAAGCTTATACGTCAGATGCAAAAAGCAATAAATAGGCAACACAGACTTTAGTATAATACCAATGGCAGCTGACATTCATGTAACCATTTAAAGTTTAAAATGTGTTTAACATATTATTATAGTTTATCTTGACAATAATAGTAATAGCATTTATATAGCACTTTTAGCATTGTGAAGTGCTTCACATGTTTTATCTTACGTGATCCTCACGAGGATCCTGTGAGACAAGTGCTATTATAATTTAACAGATGAGGAAAATGAGGTAGAGAAGTTAAGCAAATTACCTGAGATCACACAGATACTAAGTGAGGGAAGATTTGAACTCAGGTCTTGCAGACTCAAAATTTAGCAGAGTCAGTATTGCAGACATTCTTTTCCCCATTGAGAAAACGGAACCTAATAAAAGGCTGATAAAAATGGTAGCTGACATGTTGCACTTCAAGGTTTACAAAATGTTCTAAATACATTATCTCATTTAATCTTCACAATTCTATGAAGTAGTTGCTACAGATCTTATTTTCTCCATTTAGGAAACTGAGGCTTAGAGTGGATAAGTAACTTTCCAAGATAGTGTCACATATATAGTGTCAAGGGACTAGTACTTGAACCCAAGCTCTCATTATTCTAGGCCTAGCCCTCCATCTACTATATGACATGTATAAAAAGAACCCATTTGGACATAATTGAATCTATAGGGGTGGTTGGCAAACCTGGGTTATTATAGGAGAATAACTAATGAACGTAGATTTTGGTTGGGCTGAGAAGATATGGTGGGATGTAATTTATTTTTCGAGGAAAGCTAGTAGACTATTCTAGGCATGGGAGACAACTTTGCAAAGAATTGGATTCTGGAGAAGGAATAATGTGTAAATTTGAGTAGTCAGGTTAGAATGCTTGAGTGAAAATGATTATGAATCAGGAATTATGATTGCTTTTAGGCACAGTGGGGAAAGGGCTAAGGCTGGAATTTGTAATAGATGTTAGCAGTATGGACTTTAATACATGTTTATTGAATTCATTGTTGTTGCTGTTGTTATTTTGAAGTGAATTTTATTGCTGCCTTTTGTGTTTATATCACAGTCATTTATGAATCTCCCCCGCCCATGTCCATAATTGAACCCTAACCTCTTTGCCAAGAGGAGGGAGGTATGTTTCATTATATATGGAATTTGTATTTAAATTGATCTCTTGGATTGTTAGGCTGTTGCAGAAAAATTTTGAGAAGGGGTGATTGAGTCTTTGTGCTTTAGGGATGACATTTAACATAGTCCTTTTGTATATCAAGATGACCTTGCATTTTTAAGGTATATAATTTCAGTTATTATTCTAGTAGTGAGATAGATTTGTTCAACTCAATAAACATTTGATAAGCACCCACACTGTACAAAGTCACATATTCCTAGTGAGGAGGAAGGGAACACTGCAGCTGGGAGGAATAAAGATAGGAGGAAGGTAGTACTGGAAGAAGATAAGGTATCTAAATAGGAGAGAGTCCCAGATACAGGACTGGGCTTTTCAAATGCAGAGTGGTGAGAGCTGTCACATTTCCAGTTTGATTGTAACATAGCGTGAGAGTAATGTGAAATAAGTAAGGCTGCAAAGGGATATTGGACTGCAGTTGTGGAAGACCTTGAATGACAATAGGAGGAGTTTGTATTTTATACTAAAGGAGCTAGAGGATCATTAAAGGATTTGAGCAAGAGAGTGACATAGTCAACACTTTGCCTTAGTAAGATGATTTTGGCTGTTACATGGAGGTTAGATTGGGGAAGGGAGGCGCCT